GCTGTCGGAAGCGCGAGGTATGGGAGCCCCAAGCGCCAGCTCCAGTTCTACAGGTAACCGCGTCCTTTCCTTCTCCCTAAAAACGCCTCTGGGAAGCACAGATGGCCCCCTGTGGGGCAACCCCTGCTTGTGCTGAGGTCCCGTCTGGGGGCTCCGCTGGGCCGGGACGCCCACATCTGTGTATGCCGGCTCTGCCGTGGGCAGCTGCACGCCGAAGGACCTGGCTGGGGCATGGGGAGCACTGGGAGGGCCGGGATGTGGGGCTGGTGCTGTGTGGAGAGCAGCCCGGGCTGTTAGCTGTTCCCAGGGGGTGCTCCGGGCACCCATCCAGCCCTCTCATCTGCTCCTTGCATTAAGAGAAATGTCATTAACTGATACCTAAGACCGCAGATAGCTTTTTTTTTACCCAACCTTTTACTGCCTAAAATTAAAAAGGCACTTTTCCCCTGCAGCGTGCCAGCAGGGCACTGTGGGGTATGAGGATGGCCCACAGCGGCACGAGGAGCGATGCACTGAGCCTGTGTCCCCAAACACAGCACGTGGATGGCGTGAGGGTGGCGAGAGGGGGACAAACCTGTGCTCAGGAGATGCGTGTCCACCCAGAGGTGCTTGCATTTCAGTCCTGGCACTGCAGGGAGGGCTGTGTTCCGTGGATGGACGGCTCAGCCCATGGCACCGCAAGGCGCCGTGCCGCAGCCGCCGGTGAGGGTCGGCTCCGGGCGGAGGAAACGATGCCAGCGTTCATAAAGCAGCTGCACATCCACAGGCTTTTAGCGAAGAAGTCATGAATAATTGAGCTCCTGCTCGCTAGGAAGAAAATACCCTAATAGGGCTAATGGAGCGCCGCTCAAAAACTTGACTCTGGGGGGACTTGTGTTCACCAATTGCTTTGGATGCTGTGCGCCGACACTCCCCTCCATGAAAAAAACCACAGCTGTGCCTCCCTTAAAGCTGTCTGAGGGAACCCTAACAGCCAGAGCTTTCCTTTTTAATGAGCAGGAACCCCAGAAGCCGGGTGAGTCCGAGGCGCCAGGGCGGCACTCGGGGCTGCGAGTGGGGCTGCATTCCCTGCCTGGGGCTGCAATGTGACGCTGAGCTGCTTGGCTGGGGAGGGCTTCGTTTGGGCTTCTCGTTGTTGCAGTTGTTGTTGCAGGCTGTGACACCCCGGGCTGTGGGCTGGGACAGAGGCAGCGCATCGCCCCTCACTCCTCCGCGCGGCGCTGGGGCCCCGTGGGCTGGGATGGGAGCACGGGGTGATGGCAGCACACGGAGCCCGGCATGGATGCTTCGCACCGCCGCACATCACTGCCCGCCTTCGGCAGCTTCCCCAGCCCTGGGCTGAGCCGTTGCTTCTCGCTCTTTGGTTTGCAGAAAGTTTGTGCTAATAAGTGCCTGTGGGTGAGCCCGGTGCTCTCCCCGCCGCATGGCGTTGCTCAGCCAGAAATCACAGAGGTGTCAGTGCAGGGCACGCCATTAATTACCGCCTCGCTGCTCCGATCGTCCCTCTCCGACTCCGACCGCCGCTTTAATTTAATTGCAGTGAGATGAAGGCAGAGAAGCAGCGCTTTGCACTCCTCCGGTTGCACAGTGAGGGGCAGCCAGTGGGGTTGTGTGTGAGATCCGTCAGTCACAGAGGAGGGCTCAGTGCCGGCACTGCAGATCTGGGGGGTGCCGGAGGTCGGGGCGTTTTGCTTTCAGCCCTATGGCCCCGCTGCAGAGATGTGGGGGCACCCAGGGAGTGCTGTGCTCAGCGCCTTGTGGCTTTGACCTCAGGTAGGGGATCCTCTTTTTGCATTTCCCTGCACTTTAGGAACACGCTGGGTTGCTTTCCTGTGCATGAGGAGCTCCAGAGCGTTTTCAAAAAGCACTGTTTATCGCAGGAGCTCCCTGGGGTTTTTGGTAATTCCTTGAAGCTAAAGCTCTTTCTTTCCCATTCTTGCTTTTTTCTTGAGGTCATACTTGAGTACAAAAGCACACTTTGCACCATAGAACTGCTGTAAAACTGAACTTCACGGGAAAAGGAAAGAATGCCCCAAGGCAGTGGGGTGCAGGCAGGCTCTGCTCCGTGCCCATCGCCACTGCAGGGCCTCACGGAGCTCCCAGGCGCCGGCTGCTCTCTGCAGGCACTGAGTGCAGTGGGAGTCCCAGGGAGAGCAACAGGGGAAAATCAGTGCCACCTCTTTGGTGCCACTGCGGTGAGGTCGCAGCGCGCTGTCAGTGCTGCGGTGTTGGCTGGTGGCACGGACTGCAGCACCCTGACATGGGCAGCCATGCGCCCGCCACTGCCAGGACGCGTCCCCGTGGGTCCCCATGTAACTGGCACGTGGCAACAGCAACCACCGAGGCAGGAGGCACCAGAGCCTCACACCGTGTGCCACCTTCCCTTCCCCGCTGCTGCGCCGCATGTCCCGTTCCTTTGGCACCCTGGCTTTCCCGCTTCGGCCGGTCGTTGTGCTGCCCATGGCCGGGTTCTCTCGCCATCCCCATGCCACACGTAGCGCTGCGGGGTCCGGGGACAACCGGGTGTCCCCACCGCCCGCTGAGCTCCGCCGCCCGCCCCGCAGCCCCCGCGCTCAGGCAGCAGAATGCTGTCCATGACATACAGCGAGAGCCTGCGCAGCGTGGCCAGCCGGCACCACGCCGACTGGGGGCTGCAGCCGCCGCGCCGTGCGGACGCTCTGGAGCTGCGGCGGCTGCGGGATGTGCGTGCGGCAGCACAGGCCAAGACGTTGGAGGAGTTCCTGCGGACACACGGGCTCTCGCTGGACGGCTGCACGGCGCGCGCCACGGGCATGAAGTACAGGTAAGGGCCGTGGCCAGGCGTCCCCCGGCACTCTGCGAACTGGTGAATCGCGGCCTGAGCCACTGGTTGATCAGCTGAGGCGAGCACTGAGTGAAGGCAGTGGTTCCACCTCTCCCAGACCCCACTGACTGCCAGCAGGGAAGGATCTCTCTCTGGAGATCGCTTCCTGTGGAGTTTTCTCTGTGGGAACACGGGTGGGCATTTCATTCCTTTTTCATCATCTCTTTCCCCTTTCTAGTTATACAACCTGCAAAATGCCATCCTAACCACACCACTCTGCTGATGGTATATCTGTTGATTGTACAGTACAGGAGCAGGGTGGCACTGGGGCAGGGGATATGGCAGCGTGCTCCACATGTGCCCAGTGCTGTGCTGTGCTGCCCAGCGCATGTGTGCAGGAGAGGCTGGAGCAAAGCAGTGCTTTCTTGTAGGCGCAGTTCAATGCTCTTGTCTTTTATTCACTTAAACTCCAGCGCTGGTGCAGAATTGGTGAGTGCCAATGCATGGTGCACATGCTGCAACCCCCCCCAGCTGGGAAATGCAGCACCAGAGCACAGGGCAGGGGACAGAGCTGAGCCAATGTCCCACGGAGCGCACAGCGCCTGCAAGCACAGGGCCAGCAGGGTGCCATTAATGTTGCATGGAGGTGAGGGCGGTGAGCGCTGCGTCGGTGTCTCAGCTTTCATGATGCTGCTGGGGGGAAAGGAGGAAAGCAGCTCCCGTGGAAGAGAGGGCAGCGGGAGCTTCCGCTTCAGAATAAGCAGAGGTAACATTTACACCGTGGAATGGCTCATTCAGTATTCATGCAGTGGTTATTTATTGATGGAGTGAGGCACGTGCAGGCACAGCCCTCGGGCAGCCCCTCGCCTTAGGCCCGGTGCAGGGGCTGGGGGGCCCGGTGGGGCCCGGTGGGGCTGCCCCCACAGATCTCCAGCTGTTCCTTTGAGCAAAAGCTGCTGGTGGGAGTCTTAATCTGGGCTCAGGCTGCGGGCAGATTAACACGGGGCTGGGGGAGGAGGGGCTGCAAAAACGCCCGTGATTTCGTGCCCGTGGGAGGCAGCGGCGATGCTCTTTGGTGGGGATGCAGCCGCGCTGCCGCAACGGGTGCGGGCTTCCCTGGGTCCACATCACCCATCTCCGCTGCCCGAGCAGAGCAGCTTGGAGGCAGAGGGAAACCCGAGCAGATTACCAATTTTCTCATTGCGCCGGAGGCCGAGTTTATGTAATCCCCCGCGCACCCCCCAAACCGACCCACGGCCCCGCGCCGCTTCTCCCCGCTGTAGGAATCAGCGCAGTCTGTGGCCGCCTGGGCGATCCCTCCCGCTCGGCCCATTACTTCCCGACCATTGGAGCCGCCTGCATCACCGGGGGCGACGGGCAGCTGCTGCGCGCAGCCCGGAGCCGAGCGGCCATCGGCAGCGCCGCGGCTCCGTCCTTCAGAGGAGACACCGGGTTTGGGTTTCACTTAATTGCCGTAGCTCTCGTCTGGGGAAGTTTCGGGGAAGAGGCGCTCGGGGCGCGGCTCAAAGCGGCTCCAGCTTCAAACCCACCGGGCTTCTGACCCCGGGGGCGCTGGCGGTGCCCGCGCTGCGGACATAGCGGGGGTGCGCTGCTCCCCAGCACGGAGCGGGGGGAGCGGTCGCGCTCTGCCTCCCCACCTGCCCCGCCGTTGTTTGTTTGCTTCCTAAAACTCATCAAATATTGATGGCCCGGAGCCGCGCTAAGCCGTGCCGCTCCCCCAGCCCCGCAGCCGTCATGTTGGCTGAGTGATGCTCCGCCGACGTTAGGAGGAGGGCTCTGCTGCGCGGAGTTGGCCGTCTAAATTTAGGCTGCTGCCGCCTCCGCGGCCGCGGGAGGGTCACGGGCGATGCCGGGAGGCCGTGGGCGCGCGGTGCCCTCGGTGCCCCCGCCCCGGGCACCGACCCTACGGGGACCACGCGTCCGCCGTCCGGGAACAGCCTGGGCGTAGGGACGCGGCGCCGCCGGAGGCGTCAGAGGCACGCAGGACTCGAAGTTTGCCTTCAGCCTCGGGCAGGCGAGCGCCGGCGCTCCCCCGCACCTCCGGAGCCGCGCGTCTGGGGGAAGCCCTCCCCGCCAGCCCCGCCATCTCCGGCCCCCGCCGCGCCGCGCCGCACCGGGAGGAGCGTGGGGCTGAGCCCCGGGGAGGAGCGAACCCGCAGCCCGACAGCGGGGCACCATGCAGGTCTCCTTTGTGTGCTCCGAGCACAGCATCAAGAGCCGGAGCGCGGAGGACCGGCTGAACAGGCAGAATGCCAGCAGCCCCAGCCTCGGCACGCGCAGCAAATTCCGGGCAGTGGCCATGGTGGCCCGGAGCCTGGGGCAGCTCTCGGTGCAGAACGCGCCGTCGTCCAGCGAGTCCAGCATCAAACAGCCGGGCATGAAGTACAGGTAGGGGAGGACGTGCTGTGTTTGGGGTTCTACTGCCTGTTTGGGTGCGTTGGATGCCCCCCAGATTTGTGAGGAGGGGGTTCCGGGCTGTGCCGCGCTCTCCCCAGACCCCCTCTCCCCTCCTGGCTGTGGGTTTCTCAGTGCTACAAGTGCTGCTCTGCTCTCTGTGCGCTTTGCTCACCTTCCTTCCCTTCTTTGCAGTTTGCTCTCTCTCCCCTCTCGGTGTGGTTTTAGCATGAAGCAGTGGGACAGGAGGAGGCAAAGCGCTCCCACATCGCGCTGTGGGGCGCAGGAGGACCGCGGTGTGGGTGCTGTGGGAGCAGCAGCTGTAGGGGACGTAGGGGCTCTGCGGTGCAGCCATCCATGGGCTGTGATGGCATCGGGGCTGTGCAGCGCTGCCAGAACCCCCGGAGCTCAGGGTGAGGGCTCAGCCCTCAGTGCGTGGGTTTGGGATGAAGCACGGCATGCACACGGGGCGCCTGGCACTGGGCAGATGAGGGAACGCTGCAGCAGTGGATGGCAGAGGCTCCAGGCCAGCAGAACGGTGCTGGGCTGCAAAGTGCAGCAGGGAGGCGTGATGCTGGGGCGAGATCAGCCATCAGCCCCTGTTAGCATCCCCATTAGCTGGGTCAACCATCCTATAAGCTGTGCGTCCTCAGCACTCGGCGTGCTGCTCTCTGCTCTGCCCTGCTCCTCTTTCCTTGGGCCACCCCTCTGGGGTCCCCCAGGGCAGCCCCTGGAGGCGACAGCGATGGCATTGCAGCAGGGCCACCGAGCTCTCCAAATGTCCCCACTGCTCCATACAAACTCTGCTCAGAGTGATACTTGGAGGGCTGTGCACCACACAGGGGATGCTCATTCCATCCCTGCGTTGCTGCGAGCGAGAAACCCATAGGCTTGCACGCAGGAAGCCGTGAGCAGGGAAGCTCCCACTGCCCCAGTGCTGCACTCCTGGCTCGGGTTGGTTCCTCTCCATGTCGCTGTTTCTGCCCTCTGAGAGCCCACAGCCATCACCTCTGCCCCTCTGCTACGCAAGCTAAAAATAAATGGGGCCGAGACACGGAGCATCTGCTCTGTAGCACCCACGTCTTCCAGATGTTGGACAATAACGCAGCAGCGCAGAAGGAAAACATCCTGATTAATCTCAGCCTGAAATTAATAACCGTTGCTGCGCTCCGTCCCCTCGCCCCAGGGATGGGTCCCTCTGCTGTGGGCACGGGACGTGGCACGTTGCTACGCGACGCGGCCGCGCGCGGGCGGGCAGCAGCAGCTCACCTACACTTTATTTATTTTAAAGCTTGTTGTTCGAACCTTTGTGATTTGTAAAAATGCGCCATCAATCACTGTGGCAAAGGCGGAAAGGACGCCTGCCAGCCTGGATTCCTTCCCAAAAGAACGTTCTCCACTTTTCGCTGCTGAGTTTGGGGGTATCACGCAGGGCTGCTGTGTTTCTGTGGGCAGTGCTGCAGCTCCCTGTGTCCTCGTGTCCTCGTGGGTGGCTGCTGCCCTGTGCCCACACTGGTGCCCCTCTTGCCCCTCCTGCCCCATGCCCTCACGCAGCCCCCGTTGCTCGCTGTTCTGCTGCTCCAGCAGCAGTTCTTGTCTCTGGAAGGAGCTGCATCCACGCTCCTTTTTTTGTGGTTCATTCTCTCAGGTGCCTTCTGGCTCACGACAGCTCTGTGTTTATTTCTGTTGCAGAAGTAGAGCAGCAACCGGGGCTGGGGCTCGGTGCTCCCAGCCACTCTTTCCCCTTTCTCTCCTCTCCGTGCTCCATAAAATCCAACCCTGACTTCTCCAGCCACAGTTCAGGGCTCAGAGCTCAGTGCTGCTGTGCTCTGCCCTTCTCTGCACTGGTGCCCTCCTGAGTGGGTTCCACCCTTCCTCCCGCACAGCACCAGAGGGGTTCTCTGTGCAATTAGCTGAGTTAATGAGCACGGTGCGATGTCCAGCTGCTGCTCTAACGGCTCTCTATCTTTCAGAAATCTGGGCAAGTCTGGGCTGCGTGTATCCTGCCTCGGCCTGGGTGAGTGCACGCTCCCCATCCTGCCCCAAGCAGCACCGCGCTCCCAGCCGCCGCTCAGAGCCACAGAAGTCGGCTCTGTCCCCGCTCTGTAGGGGTGCTGGGGACGCAGCACGGCCACGCTGCGCTCACTGCGCGCCATCTCTCCCTGCAGGGACATGGGTGACATTCGGAGGGCAGATCACAGACGAGGTAAGGACAGCACACAGCCTCAGCAGCAGCTCTGGGTGCACTGGGGCTGCGGCCCTCGGTGTCCCCATGCCCAGGCATCCCCTCTCCCCCCCGCAGATGGCTGAGCAGCTGATGACTTTAGCGTACGACAACGGCATTAATCTGTTCGACACGGCAGAAGTCTACGCTGCCGGCAAGTGAGTACCATTGGCACCATGCAGGGAGCCTTCCTCGCCAGCCCTGCTCCTCCTCAGCACGGCCAAATCCCTCTGGTTCTCAGCTGGAGGTGCTCTGGGACACATCCTGAGCCCCCTCGCAGCTGTGGGCTGGGATATATTTAGCAGGCAGAGCAGCACTGTGGGTATCGACACAATGGCAGAGCCTCTTTTTTTCCCTTTAAACCCACTCCTGCATTACGCAGAAACTTGTGCTGGGGGAGGAACGGCGCGTTCTGCACACTTGGTCCCACGTGCTGAGCAGGAGGAGCCCCAGCACCCAGGGATTGCTCCGGGCTGGGCACCCCCTGACCCCATACAGCCCCCAGACCCCACACAGCCCCCTCCTTCAGCTCTGCACTTCCACACTCCCGAGGTTCCCAGGTGCTCATTCAGTCTTCAAAGCCCTTCATGCACAAGCGTGCTCGCAGGCTCTTCAGTTCCTGAATATTTGAAAGAGGGTTTGGAAGGAGGGCTGCTGTCCTGCGGCACGCAGGAACGTTCCCCCCAGGAGCACTGATAGGTGCTTCCCATCCCCGCGCCGCACGCTGCCCTCTGTTTGCTCGCCGAGGACAGCCGCTGTCATGCAGGTTGGTTTGAAAGTTTGGAGAGTGGAAATAATTAAATCATTCCGCCTCTCCGCGCTCGTTTTGGGAAGTCATTTCACATTTGCTCAAACGTTCCATCCCACCACAGCGTCTCCTGCTGGGTGAGGGCTCCCTCCCGGCCCGTGGCCTCTGCGTGTGCTGACCCGGTTCTGCTCAGCCCCACTGATGCTAGGCTGGGGGCGGCCCCGGTGCCGAGCGGTGTGAGGAGTGGGCCCACACAGCTGCTTCAGAATAGCAGCTCCTGCTGTTTTGGAGCCCTTCGCTCCCCGCTGCGTCCCAACGCCGCTCGCAGTCACTTCTCATTACTGACGCGTCTCTGACCTAATTCCTGCTCCAGCCTGAAGAGCTCAAGGCTTATGTCTCCCTTTCCTTGCAGGGCCGAGGTTGTGCTGGGAAACATCATCAAAAAGAAGGGCTGGAGGTAGGTCTCACCGCCAAGGTCCAGCATCCCACTCTGCTTTACTTTTAGGCAGCAGGTTTCCCTGGTGATTGTGATACTTGTGGGCTGGGAGGAGTGGGGAGAAAGAGCCCACGGGGCGCAGGGCTCACGCATTGACCGAGCATAGGCACAGCTGGGGCTGGAATCCCCAACCCCGGAGGTGTGCAGTGCGGAGAGGTGGCACCTGGGGATGCGGTCAGTGGGCACAGTGGGATGGGTTGGGGTTGGACTTGGTGGTCATAGAGTCCTTTTCCAACCTTAATGTTCCTGTGAGTGGGTTTGGCGGTGATAGGCTGATGGTTGGCCCAGGTGGGCTTTAGAGGTCTTTTCCATCTTATTTACCCTACTGCTCTATGACTCTGCCCTTCTCCCTGCAGACGATCCAGCCTGGTCATCACCACCAAGATCTTCTGGGGAGGAAAGTAGGTAGCAGCCGCCCTGCCCCGCAGTGCTGCGGCCGGCAGCGGGCTCCCACTGCCCCTTCTCTTCTTTCAGAGCAGAGACGGAGCGGGGTCTGTCCCGGAAGCACATCATTGAAGGTATGGCTGCGGGGTGCGGGGTGCGGCGCGGAGCGCGGGCTGCCCTGACTGTGCTGCATGGCTGCAGGTCTGAAGGCGTCGCTGGAGCGGCTGCAGCTGGACTACGTGGACGTGGTGTTTGCCAACCGGCCCGACCCCAACACACCCATGGAAGGTGGGTGCTGCGCTGCGGCCGTGCCGAGGTGTCCGACCCGCGGCTCCGGGGCCACGTCCCTTCTTTCCCCGTTTTCTGCATGCTGTGTGCCGTATTCCATTGCCATCCGTGGGTTGTAACCATGCTTCTTGTGGCAGGCTTTCCCCTGAAAGTGTGTTTCCCATGACAGAGCTTAACCCCTTCAGCTAAAGCTCTCTGAGCATCCATCCCTCGCCCCGTGCCAGGAGCGCGGCCGGGGGCTGCCGTGGTGCTGGGGGAGCGCGGCCCCATCCCCCGCTGTGCCCTTCGCTGTGACACCGGCGGCTGTAACCTCTGGTCTCTCTACATCTTTCTTTTATCACCAGGGCACCCATTTAGTTCTTCCAAGTCGAGAACATTCATCATAGAAGGTACATCGTACCCGCAGTCCGAACCCCAGTGGCATTTTATGAGACAGAACCTGCATTTTTCATTAATTTTGATTCCTTCCCCCCTCAATAACCCTCTCCATAAAATGCGCAAAGGAAAACAGCAGCAACAGCCAAACCAAAATACCCCCCCATCCCCAGAACATCTTGCAAGTGAAGGAACAAAGCCGACAGCTGCGCTCCCATCCCATCCGCTCCCCTTCCCCGCATGGCTCCAGCATTGCGCTTCTGGTGCCGCTCTGGCACTGGGCAGTGCTCAGGTGAAGCCGTCAGTCCTTGCTGCACGCAGCTCTTCTTGCTGTCAGTCTGTCCCCACGCAGTGCGCCCCGAGGGCACGGTGTAGCCCAGCACCCAGCTGTACCCCTGTGCCGCTCGCAGCGTCCCCTGCTGGCACGCAGGACGGGGCGCCCTCCATGCAGGCCCCTCCTGCCCCACGCTGAGCTGCCAGATCCGGCTGCTGAAGCCTTTGGTTGACACAAAGCTCGTGCTCGGCTGAGCTGTCGCTGCACATGCTGGTGTTGTTAAACCGAACTTCAGCCATGTTCTCCTTTCTGCTTCCTTCACTTGGCATGGCATCTTGGCTTGCAACCCAGCCCGCGTGGTTTGAAGCAGCCTGCTGCCACCTCAAGTTGTGGCAGCCCCCAACCCCTTCCTCCCAGCATCGCTCTGGGATGGAGCAACGAATCCCTCAGCTCCACATTTCCTACCACCCTGAGCCACAGTGGGCACAGCAGCTGTGCTTCCAGCCCGTTGGTACCAGAGGCTGTGGGAAGATCCACCTGCTTCCCTCTTCCTGCAGCATTTGCAAGCGCTGTGTGCCAGCACAGCCCTGGGGACCCCCATTCCCACAGGCCACGGCACAGCCCAGAATGGGCTACAGCTACAGAATGCCGGGTTTGGGGAGGGTGCTCTCTTTTGTATATCCTTAAACCCTGTTTTGACTCGTTTCTGTGGTGGAGCACTTTGGGATGAGCTGGAGGCAGCTCCAGGCCCATTACCTGGGAGCAGCGCTACGTCCCCAATTGCATCCCTTCCTCAGTGCCCTCCTGTGCCCTCTCCTGACTTTCACCGCTCCCAGAGGCCATACATCGCCTTTTTGTCCCTCCCTCCTCATCTCAGCACTCCAACCTCTGCCCGCTTCCATGTGATGCTCTCCGTGTGGTTTGACCTGGGTCTGTTTTCAATAGATCTGGAAATGCGTTCATTGCGGAGAAGCGATTTCCACGCAGTCTCTCTCTCTCTCTCGGGTCGATTTCCATTCCCTTTTGTTTTAATTTCCACACCCAACTCCTGCCCGTTTGGCGTTTGGATGTGCACTGCTTGCAAGATGTGCGCGGCCCAGCCCCATCCCTGTGCCCTAACGCCCGCCTGCTGCTCTCCCTTCCTCCGGCAGAGACGGTACGCGCCATGACCCACGTCATCAACCAGGGGATGGCCATGTACTGGGGCACGTCGCGCTGGAGCTCCATGGAGATCATGGTAGGAGCCGCGTCCCTAGGGGTCCCACAGCCCAAATCTCTGCTGCGTGGTGACGGGGCCGGCGTGCGCTGACGTTGCCAATCCGGGTTGCAGGAGGCGTACTCAGTGGCACGGCAGTTCAACCTGATCCCACCGATCTGCGAGCAGGCTGAGTACCACATGTTCCAGCGGGAGAAGGTGGAGGTGCAGCTGCCTGAGCTCTTTCACAAGATAGGTATCCATTTCACGCGGGTCCTTCTCCCGAGGGCTTCACCCGCTGCTCCTCCATCTCCCCGTGTGCCCCAGCCACCTCCACTCCTGCTTACCTCATCCCAGCTCCCCAGGCTGGTTTCCTTGCTGCCCCTCCTGCCCTCCAGGTCGGCCCCAGCACCCAAGTGCTGCCCAGCCCCAGGCCGAAGGCAGCCTGCGAGGTGCCCAGGTCACTCCCTGCTCTGCTCTGCTCACCCCAGGTGTCGGTGCCATGACCTGGTCACCGCTGGCGTGCGGCATCGTCTCAGGGAAGTATGACGGCGGCATTCCTCCATACTCAAGAGCATCACTGAAGGTGAGCGCCATGGAGAGATACGCAGTGCGGGGGTCTCAGGGCTCCTGAGAGCCCCCCACTCACCTCTCTCCCACCCCAGGGGTACCAGTGGCTGAAGGACAAGATCCTGAGCGAGGAGGGCCGGCGGCAGCAGGCTAAGCTGAAGGAGCTGCAAGCCATCGCCGAGCGCCTGGGCTGCACGCTGCCACAGCTCGCTATCGGTAAGGGGGTGGGGGGGCGGTGTGGGGCAGCGGCCGGGCGCCGCTCAGCTCGGCACTCCGCATCCCCAGCGTGGTGCCTGCGCAACGAGGGCGTCAGCTCCGTGCTGCTGGGAGCCTCCAACGCCGACCAGCTGATGGAGAACATCGGAGCCATACAGGTGAGACGCGCAGCGGCACGGCCGCGCGGTGCTGCCACGCGTTGCGGATGAGTCGAAAGCGCTGCGCGGCGATGCTGAGCGGCGGGCACAGAGCGGGAGGCGGGGCACCCCGCACAGCTGCGGCTGCGCTCCGTGCAGGTCCTTCCCAAGCTGTCGTCTTCCATCGTCCATGAGATCGATAGCATCCTGGGCAACAAACCCTACAGCAAGAAGGACTACCGCTCCTAGGCGCCCGGCACGCCACCCCGCCGCCCGATCGCTTGCTTACGCTTGGATGAAGCAAAGTGGAGAGCGCGGCCCGCATCAAGAACAGCACGCCAAGAGTGTAGAGAAACCGTTCCAAACGTCGCTGCAAGAGAACATAACGCTTACTACATAACATTTACTTTGAATGCAAGAAAGCCGCCGCCGGGGAGAGTGCTGGGCAGCGCGCGCCCGCGCCTGGACTCGGAGCCGCGGGGCGCACGGCCAGGCTCTGCGCTGCGCTGCTGGGGGCGTCCCGGCTCCGTGCGGAGGACTCAGCCGGCGGGGGCCGTCCTGGGCGGCGGCCGCAGCCGTTGCATGCGTCTCCCTGCTGCTTCTCTTCTTTACTTTGTGTTTCCGGACAAGGAGGCCGTTGGGTGCAGCTGTGCTCAGAGCACCGCGGGAGCGTTACGTGCGCAGGGCTGGGTGCTGGCCCGGATCAGCGCCGGGGCTGTAAGAGGCTGCTGTGCGACACCACCAACAAACTACCACCACCCCTCCTTCCAGCGCTCTGCTCTGCAGCCCCGGCACGCTGCGTCTGTGCCCTTGCCTGGGATGGGCGTGAGGGAGGAGAAGATGGGTGGGCAACGGGAACCCCTGGGCGGGGGGACTCCACACAGCCCCTCCCCAGGCAGCGCCTGCTGTCCCTCTCCCCGTGCAGGGGAAACAGCAAACGCTGCTGCGTGGAGGCGGGGAGGTGGAGCAGTGAACGTGCGTGCGGGTGGGATAGATAAGGGAGAGCTGCCATTTTTATATATCTGCACAAACCACGCAGAAATACACATAAGCAGGTATATAGAATTGCATATCTGCGTGCATCTGTAGGCAATGTACAGATGTGTCACTGTGCTGACATCACACAAGCACACCTACATACATGTACACACTGGGATGGCACCGAGCACCACGGCACATGGTGCCACTGCCCGGGGCTGTGGGCTCCAAGGGGGGCAGCAGGGGGGTCCAGGCAGGGGCTGGCTCCTCCCCGAGCATTGTGGCCCCCTCCCACCCTGATCCCTGGGGTGGAAGAGCAGAGCTCCCCTCGTCGCCAGCACAATAACGACGCTGCTCCCACCTCCTTTTTACAGGATTTATTAAAACACAGAGAACATGAACCAAAACACACAGAGTACAAAGTAAATGTGAGTGTGTTGGTTACAGGTGCCATAAACCTCCTACGAAAGGTCACCACGGTGCAGTCAGTATCACAAAATAGCAGCCCACCAGGCACAAAGGCAGCAGTCCGGCCACCCTCTGCTCTGCTGCAGCAGCCCCCACGACCCCCCCCCCCAGCTCCAGGCAGCTTGTGGCCGCAGAGAGGATGGAAGGAAGCCCTGCCCAACCATGCTCTCCTCTGTGCAGCATGGCGAGGGCAGGTTGCAGGCAGAGGGACCCAAGGCAGGGCTCACTGCAGCCCGGGGATGGGCTGGGAGCGGTGGCAGCCGACTCCTCTCCTCCTCCTCCTCCTCCTCTCTGCTCCCTGTGCTGCAGCAGGGCAGCGGTGGGCATGCGCTTGCTCAAACACAAAAAGGACATAAAAATAGAACTTACAGGGAAGCTACTGAACAGGAGTAAGCTTGGCGCCTAACGGTCAGCGTGGAACTGGACTAGAAACAGAGCTTCCAACAGGTCTCCCTTTAACTCTGATACATGTCAATAAAAACAGACATAAATACTGTTATTCTGTATCCCTTCTTAACTCATCCCACACTTCCGGACAAACTCTTCAAGTCTTCAATAAGAAAGTGCAAAAAATGTACAAGGAAATGAAATCCCCTTCAGAGAAGTTCTGGCGATGGTCGGGGTCACGGGGGTTGAAGCACACGTGGGGACGAGGGGCGCGGGGCTGCATCCCCTCTGCCCACTGCATCCCCATCCCTTGGTGACCCTGCGGCTTCTTCTCGGGGCTGCAGAGTGGCCCAGGGGCTGCTGAGGGGACAGACAGGGACTCGTGCTCTGCCAGCACACGGCAGCTCAGAGGATGGTCACAGGTGCAGCCTTACCTCGGGTGGGAATGGGAACAGCAGAAGAAAGTCTTGGAAAGGGCTAAATATCTGTTGGTAAGAGAGAAAACAGCTGCTCACCACCATCCTTGCTTTGCACTAAGATCTGTCACTTCAATTTCCCTGCTTGTGTCCGTCAGAAGCTTCAGCCTACCTGTCACATAGGGTCCCAGAGGCATCTGGCTGTAGTTGACAATCCCACCCGGCCCAGGACCTCGGAAATTCGGTCCAAAGCTGTTGTTGTAAATCTGGGAGGAACCAAAGGAGCCCTGAGGAAAGAAGGGAAGCTGGAACACAGGGTGTGCAGAGCAGAGCTGGGGCAGGGGACACAGGGCACCCCAGGGCAGCTCTGCACTCCTCCAGCCCACGCACCTGCTGCACCGCGGGCTCCCCGCCACGCGTGGTCAGGCGGCTGAGGATGCTGCGCTCCGACATCTGCAGCCGTGCAGCCACAGGAGGGATGCGGGACAGCATGGAGGGCAAGCGCGTCACATCAGCCTTCATGTCGCTCAGCAGCTCCTCAAGCTGGTTCAGCACTGCAACGCACAGCCAGAACTGCTGACCCCAAAGCCCTATAGCAGCTCCGTGCCTGCTGTGCTCCACCCCGGCACCTCGTGACCCAACTGAACATCGGCTCCTCCTCCAGCAGTTCCCCAAGGCTGCTCTGCCCAGTGGTCTCACTCGGCACAGCCCACCCTTCCCTGCACCCCCCGCCCTCTGCCCCCACGTACCCTTGTGCAGGACGGCATTGGCAGGCTTGTTCCCCGCGAGGGACTCTTTGGAGAGGTGCTGGTGGCTCTCGGCAAGGCACTCCACTTCAGCCAGACGGGCGTTCAATGCCATGGCCGGGTGATTGGGGTCTTGAGTCATGTTGAGGTACGCCGCCCGCCGCAGCTGCTCCTCTATCACCAGGGCCTGCTCCAGCAGCTGGGAGGCACAGGAGAGCAACGGATCAGGACCAGACCCTGTGCCTGTGTGAGCCAGTGCCACCCACATGCCTGCCATCCATCCATCTGCCCCATCCCCACAACTCCTGGGTTTGTGTCATCCCAACGCAGCCCAATCACACACTAAAGTACCCCAGAAAGAGATTTGGGCAGCAATTCCACAGCACTGCCCCATCCATGTGCCACATTCTGGAGCTAGCAAGTGCTCCTGCTCCTCCAGCCCTGCCCCTCAGGGTGCTGCCTCGCTGCCACTGACGCCTCGCAAACATCTGCTGCCTTCTGCTCCGCTCACCTCGCCGTGGGGCTCTGCTCTGTGCCACCACTAAGGACTCACCAGCCCTGGACCTGCAACTCGCCTTGAAGCGCCGGGCGAGGAACTTGTTCTTCATCTCCAGGTAGTTCCCTTTGTGTATCTCTGACTTGAAGGGCTCGTTCAGGATCACGTAGCGCGGGTCGTTCTGGATGTCCTGCCAGCGGGCGTAGCCGTGGCTGCCAGGAGGGAGCGTCAAGGCAAGAACCGGCCAGCAGACAGCACTTCTCAGCAACACGTCCCCAGTCCCCTTCCCCACTCCATCACCTCCCTCCCCACTGCCCTCACAGCTCAGCCTCCTCCGCCCGGCACGGGGAAGCCATCACCCAAAAGCCAAAGGGTACGTGACGATCCCTGCCAGCAGCCAGTAGTCGTGCCTGCGGTGCCAGATGTCGTAGATCTTGCTGGAGGAGATGGCAGCTCTTTCCTCATTCTGCCACAGCGTGTGCAGCTCTGCAGAAACAGAAGAGAGACAGCCTGGTCAGCCAGCAGGGCTGCTGGGCACAGCGTGCAGGGCGAGAGAGGAGATGGCCCAGGGAGCCACGGAGCAGTGCTCAGTACAGAGCTTTATGTAAAAGCTCTGCAGCAGTAAAACAACCAACGGCTCATCTCTCGTGTTTACCCGTAAAGCCTCCGTCAGCAATGTTGAACATGAATCTAAAGTTCACGTTTCTGTCATCCTTCTTTCCATCCTCCTCTTCTTTGTCACCATTTTGCTGAGCCTCACTTTGCTCCTTCTCTTCCACCTTGGTATCCTCTGCTGGGCAAACACGGGAAATTACAGCTGCCCAAACTTATGCAGCCATCAGACCGACTGCTGCTACCACTGCCCTCCCAGCTGCAAGGGGAAGTCCCCACTAAAATCACTGCTAGAGAAGCCACCCGCCACCTCCTGCCAACAGCTGCTGGCCATCTGCCACCTCCAGCAGCTCCTGATGTTTTCACAGCAGTGCCCACTGCAATGAGGTCCTGCGGAGGCTCCTGAGCACCACAGAGCACACTGCCCACTGCAGGTGCTGGCTGCAGCCCCGTGCCACAACACAGACGCCTGCCTTCAGTCGGAGACCCTGCCCAGCAGGGCACTTCACACCACTTCTCTTTCCAAAGCCTCCTGGCACCTTACCTGGCTTGACTTCTTTGTCCTCCCCTTTACCAGGACTGCTGTTTGACTCTGGCTTTTCCAAAGCCTTCTCTTTTTCTTGGACTCCCTCATCTGCAGAAGGGAACAGGACTCTGAGAGAAGCATAACGTGTAAAATGCTCTTCAGGAAATAATATATCTGTATGGATTGTAACTTCCAGGGTAAAGCGACCGTATCGGGTACAAGCACTGATCACAGCTTACTTTTGATTTGTTTTAACCTGTAGATTATACTAAACTGATGCTTTAACATTACAGTGTAGATTACATCTGTGACAACATGGTATCATCATCTAAACAGCAATCTGGAAGTCCAACAGGAAGTCTTAGGAATTTCCACTGGATGTTGTGACATTCAGGTTTCCCTCTGTGATTTGGAGAAGAGAAGCCAGCAGCAAGTGCCAGAATTTGCCAACAGAGAGCATCTGCCTGTCAGGAGCACCAAGCACCTGAGGCTGTCGCAGTGCGCGCTCTGTGTCTGTGCACCTTGAGCTGAAGAAATTCCCCAGCACACATCAATGTCAGTGTAACTGTCAGAGCCCTCACAGATGTCCCAAATGCTGCTCAGAATGGAGCCCACACTCTTCTGAGCCACAGAGACTCACCTTTCCCCAGGGGCTCAGGAGAAGGCTCAGTTTTTTCACTCTCGTCCTGTTTCTCTTCCTTCAGTTTCTCCTTGCTTTCACAGTTTTCTTGGTACTCTTCACTTTCCATCTTCTCAGTGCTTCCGGGCACCTTAATGTCAAGCACCCCCACTAATTAGCCCAGCAGCCAGATGGACGTGGTTTGCTTGCAGAGGAATGCTGCAG